GCTCCCTCAGCTGTTCGGAGCGCCACACTACAGGCACGCACAGGAGGCATTCGCCTTGCAGGAGTCCATGCTGCTGTGATGCAACAACCACTGTAAAAACTGATGTGTAGTCATGACACTGTGATGAAGATGAGCAGTCCTGGCTTCATTCCAAACCTGGCTTTGTTTCTGCTCTGTTTTTTGTGAAGTACTGAATAGCTGAACTATAACTTTGCGGGACACACCAGCCTCTGATGTTTCTACTGATTGCTTTAAGGGAAAAAACTGAAGATATAATTTTATTTTTGGATGTAAATCAATAACAGTATATATATATAATCTTTTAGAGTTTGGACATGTACAGTGGAGTTTGGTGTTAATAATCTGAAATTGTTAGGGGAGTGTTCCCTATAAAAACAAAACTGATTTATTTTTTCATCTGTATTTTATTTTTTTTACTTACAAATAGGTATTTACATTACAGAACACTTCTGAATGTGATTTTTAAACAAATGCTAGAGCAGAGTTGAATGAGTTCATGTACGTTTTGATTTCATTTAAATTTTTAAGTACCCACTACCCATTGGTGCAAAAACTAGGTTGTTGTTTTTTGTTTTGTTTGTTTACAAGTTTGTTTTTAAGAAAATACACTGAACTTTTTTTTTACAATTCAGTCTGAGTCCGGATTAATGTGCAATGCATTTCTCTCAGAAATATTTTGAGGCCAGTGTAGTTTAGACAAATACAGAATGATATGAGGGCTACAGTACAAACGATATATATGTAACCATTGTTAACATAGTTACAGGATCCCAAGATGAATGTAAACATTTTGGTTTACTGTGCTTTATTTTTTTAACAGACACATTATCTAATACACCCCCACCTCCCAAAATAAACACACTACATGTAAGAAAGGTGGAGTCGCACATTTCTGTAATCATCCTTTATTTCTTGTACTCTGATTTTTAAATACTTATAAAGAAGTACAGCTGCTTACATTCCCTAACTTATATTTGCTTTCTGTTTACTAAACTGCAGTTCATTGTGACATTTTGCTTAATAAAATGAGGTGGGTAAAAATGGTTGTTATAGTCTCTCCTCCTCACGTATGATCACACAAGACATTATCTTAAGAGACCTCCTTTAGCCTGACATCAACTCTGAAATTAAAGACATGAACTAAATGTGTCATAATACAGCTGTAGCTGCACAGGACAACCAAGACGCATACTGTATGTTATGGACAATCCTCTCTGGTACACATCTTTTTACTATTTTTTCTTTCTTTATACTGAACACATGATTTTTTGGTGTGGGGGGTGCGTAGTTTAAGTCAGGGGTGGGCAATCCTGGTCCTCGAGGGCCGCAGCTCTGCATGTTTTACTTGTTTCTCTGCTCCAACA